GTTAGGCGAAAACGGCCATAACCAAACATGCTTGCAAACCTTCCACCACAACATTCCCGCCCTCTTGATAATCAACCAATCACATTCACTTTACTCACTCGTGTAAAGTCGTGCACCACTCAGGAGAATTCAGTAATGCTATGTTGGAACAGCCGTTTCACTACGACTTTAGGGCCGATACTGATGCCAACTTTGTTTTTTACATCAGTCCAAGCGATCTAACCGATAAGCTGCTTTTTAAGGAAATATTCTTTGTGCCAATATGGCTTTCTCTTCCTTCATTTAAAGGGTAAAAATCATACAACCCTAAAAAATTACGCAAGTCTCTGTTAAAAATGAAAAAGAAACCTTTATTAACAAATCAAAGAAACTTGTGGATAGTAAATGGAGTGAGTGGGAAGGCATGCGCCCTATTTGATCTAAGGATACGGCTGCTAAATGAAATATGAACACATGTACAGTATCAGCACAGTGGCGTGCACACTGCACATGGCGAGACAAGAGTGGGAGTTGCCCCCTTTGTGGCTAAACTGGTGAAAAATCCGCTCTACAGTGCTGAAGATGCGCTATGCCCTTTTTTTCCCCCTTTTTCGTCCCTGCCCTTCAAGAAAACAAACTTAGATCAGCCAAAAATATCAGCTGTCCGATGTATTGGTCTATATCTAGACAGCAATTATTCATTCTTGGAAAGTTGAGTGGGGCTGCTCAGTGGAGCAGTGGTTAGCACTGCTGCCTTGCAGCAAGAATGTTCCGGGTTCAATTCTGCATGGAGTTTGCATGTTCTCCCTGCGCATGTGTGGGTTCTCTCCGGGTACTCCGGCTTCCTCCCACAGTCCAAAAACATGACTATTAGGTGAACTGACTTCTCTAGATTGAGTGTTTGTGTGAATGGTTGTTTGTCTCTATGTTGCCCTGTGATGGACTGGCAACCCGTCCAGGGTGTACCCCTCCTCTCGCCTGTAGACAGCTGGAGATAGTCACCAGCACGCACCCCCCCAATTGGGATTAAGCGTGTAAGAAAATGGATGGATGGAAAGTTGAGTGGAAGGAAAAAGTGTATGAAAAAAAGGGTATAAAAAATAATAATTTTGCTTCAAGTCCAACATGAGGTCTTCACAGTATTTATTTAATCATCCTTCTGTTGACAAGCTTTGTAGATATTTCATTTCCCAGCATTGACCTGCCCATTCTGCGTAAAGCACCAGGGCCGAGCTTAATGAACATGTGTAATTGGTCTGCAGACTCTCCCAGCTGAATGTCAAGGAGACTCTCTGGATTATTTATTTTTTACAAGAGAAAAATAAAACACCAGAGCTAACAAGGCAGATGAGTAAACAGATGTTATCAAAGCAACCTGGCATTCCTCAGCATCTCAGCTGTGCAGGCTGAGGACCTTTAAGTCAGGGAGCGTATACGGCATATTTTAGGTAGGCATGCTTTTGGCAGGCTGACTTATTTTTGAAAACATCTTTTTTTATTATTAATTTTATCCAAAATTCCAATTAATCTCAAAAGTCATAAGCTGTAATTCTCAAAAGTAACAAAGAAAACCCAAACTAAAATAAATTAAGATCTGTGTGAGAAAGTGTTATATCAATTTTTACAATTAAATTACCAGAATAAATTAGCTTTTTAATGATATTGTAATTTATTGAGATGTACCCATAAACCTTTGTTGAATATGATTAGTGTGGTTTGCTGACTGAAATCTCTTGGCTCAGTAACTGCAGATCATTTGTCTTCCTGTTCGACTCCATCACACACACAAATAGCTCTGGGGCACACATGCACCTTAACTCTTGCATGCTGCACAGTTTGTAAGCTCAGTCAGTGTTTAACACTTACATTGCAAAGGTTACTTGTAGAGGAGAAGTAGTCTTCCTCGTGACAGTGCCACCAGTTACATTAGTCATACAGCGGAAACTGAATTGCTGGGCTGCATGTGTCCCCCTCAGATGAGCAGTTATTAAAGCTGACAGTAATTGATGGATGTGTTTCAGTCAAACATGTAATGTCAGAAGGAAAACAGAAAGGTCAGGATGTTGCAAGGAAATTAATGAAAGTGCTGTTAAAGCATGAAGCTTCAATGCAACTAGCTCCTGTCTATTTTTTTATACAATGATTGTTTGGTTGCATTGAGGATGGAGCTTCTATCAGGGCCTATACACCATTCAGAAAGATTCTGCTAAAACAATCTCACTTTTCGTTCAGGATGTGGCTCACGCTTGGTTGGTCATCAGCACACAGAGAGACTGAAGAGTAGGGGTCACCATGCACTCCTATTGGACAGAGTCTGCTCCTCTTTTTAAACAGAGCGTGGGTTTATTACTTAACACATGGACAAAAAAGAACTGAGAGGGAAACATAATGAATGAGTGGAGGAATAAGGAGCACTTAGAAAATCAATGTTTCATGCCTTGTCTCTCTATATGGAAATATGGGATATTGCTGAGATATGTGAAGATGATCACACGGAAGCCCAAAGTTAAAGTGAAAAACTGAGTATTTGTTAGTTTACAGGAATGAATCAATAAATAAATTAAGGTCAAGCAAAGGTATCCTAACATTTATGTTAAAGGCATACTATGCAACATTTTTCAGTTAATTAATGTGTTCCATAATGTTTTGGATGATTAAATGAGTCATTTCAGGTTGAACAAAGGTTTTCTCGGCCGCCCTGGTGGTCTGTAGGGGAAATACCGTACTTGCAATTGCAGGAGCCCTCGGCCCGCACCCACAGGCTCAGAAGTCTCGTGCATCGCGAGAGTCGGTCTTGCTTTACGGCGAGAACTTGGCTAACTACAATCTTTGTTATTTAGACACACGCATAACAAATAATGTATGAAAACATGCTAAATTTTCAAACTCGAAAATTGGAACAAAATAGTCACTTACCGCAGTAGACATGGTGAATCATTGCGTTCGCCTGTCTGCTAAGCTCAAAACAACCGCGCCTGGCTTGACGGAGAAACCAGGAGAACAGCTGTGCATATTTACGACAGTGCACTTTTACTTTCGCCCTCTGGGGGGAGCCTCGCTGGAAAATCAACACCGGTTGCATAGTGTACCTTTAAAGACAATCATAATTTCTCATATTTGTATTTACCTAAGTGTCTAAACCAGGGGTCACCAGGTAGTCCACATGGGCCACATGAGAAGCCAACAAATCTGTGCTAAACAAAGCACAAACCAGCAGTGAGATGCATGACTTTTTTTTTTATTTTGTTGCTCTTCTTTTTTAATCACAATTGTATTTATTGATTTGAAATTACAATATCTAAAAAAAAAGATATCTTGTTGACCTCTGACCCTCCTAGTTCAACGATCAGTACTGGTAGTTCTTAGTATGACTCACAAAGCAGCTTTCAGTTTCAAAACCCTTTTCTAAATCTGCATTATAGGTTCAGGATGTGTGGGTTCTGCAGAAATGGTAACAACTTTCTTTTCTGACCCTGCTCCTGTACATGCCCTGGCAGGAGGAAAGGTCAGCTCCGATGATCCTGTCTGCTGAGCTATTGATGCATGCAGTCTGGAGCTGTTTTGTGGATGAGCCTCTGCATCTCCACGCTCATTTGTGTTCTAATCAATGCTAAGGGATGGTTAAAAAATGCCATCTTTCTTTAATTTTGAAGAAGATTTAGCATCTTTTTCAGAGAGCAAACAATAGAAAAGGATG